CTTGACAGTAGACGACTTCAAAACCCTAGCTCGAGATGAAAACCACGAAATTCCCAAATCACATCACCAATCAAACAATTTGATATAGTGAGAATCCGACTAAGAAATCAACAAAAAATCAGTAGAAATGGTTGAAAAATATCGAGTTGAACGCTAAATGAGCCGGACATCACCTAGAATGAAATACACCTCCGTAATTAACGAAAACAGGATCGATCGAAAGCAGAGAACGAGCCACAGAAGGATCTATGCTCGATACCATGTAAACTTGACATATTTCTCAGATTGAGAGTTTGAGAAATTAGAACACAAGTGTTTCCATTAGAGAGAGAAAGGAGAGTTCTAGATATTTTTATTATCTCTATAAGAATGATAGTCCGTTCCTATTAAAAAAAAATAAGGCGTACATTAAATACAAGATTGGGCCGGGTACTACTGGCCCAAAGTAAAAAATGAAATAGAATCATACACTATCAAATGGGCCTATTCTAACAATAACTTCTATTACTTCTCGATTTAACATGTTTATGTTAAAAATTGTTCATCTATATTATTATTAATTGTTGTCTTCGGTGTCAACACAAATTCGGTTTTAAGAATATTAGAAAAATCTGGAAGGGCAAAATTTTAATTCCTATTTGTCAGAAAATTTATTTGCAAAATTGTTACTCACATGCTTCTTCTTTTGTCGGCTCTACTCACATTCTTCATTTAGTATTTTAACCAACCATAGTCCTTCAAGATGACAAAGGAGCTATGTAAAGGCCGAAGATTACTGGAAACACCATTTAATTTATCCACTTTAAATTCAAACACATATTTTAGATTATTTATCTCATATACAATTTTTACTATAATGAACGAAATGTCCGACATAGAGTAATTACTTTTCATCAAATTGAAATGCTTGTACAGTAATACCATATAACTTGTTAGTGAACCAAATTAAAGCTATAAACTAGCTTTAATCAATGAGTGAGTTAAGTGTAAGATTTTTTTTTTTTCATCTAAGCATAAGAATATAACATTTCATGAACTATGAAACATGACCGTTGGCTGTTGATTTTCTTAGCTGTTGATTTTGCTAATAGGGTGATAAAAACTCAAATCAATGACCATATATACAATTTCAATGAACTTGATTATAAAAAGGTCATAGTAAAATTTAGGTTTGGGTTTCTCTCCACTCAAAATGACTTACACCAAACTTAACAAATGATGTTATACGATGCAATTTGGATTTTGACCCACCATCATGTATAAGGATTATTTAGTGCATTGAATCCACCTCTACAAAGGTTAGCATAGAGCACATACTTTAGACGCAGAGAAAATAATAGGGAAATGAACTAAATTCAAACCATCGGTTATATGCATTTCTTCGATTAAGTTTTGGTACTAACACTGTCGGTCTAGTTTTGATACTAACACTGTCGATCAGTTTTGGGTGTCAAATAAGTTAGGATCATTTTGAGATTAAAATAGATTTAGTCAACGAACAAGTTATTACCCTATTCGTCCAATTTTTTTCCAGGTCAAAAAATGTGCTGAGTTGGGTAGCGGATCATCGATTAACTTAGATCTATTTTTCAATTTTTTTTTAATAAGTTTGTATTATCAACTGTGGTTTTAAAAAGTAAATCACTTTACAATATAATAAAACTATATCCTACAAAACCAGAACCACTTTATTTTTATTTTTTTGTTATTTTTGTGTACAATCTATTTTTGACAAAACTCTCTTACGGACTGATTAGGCCTAGTAATGAAGCCCAAGTTGGTCTCAATCATGTTGTAACCAGTTGGAAATTTTACCTCCTATAGCAAAGATTGATACCTTATTTACTATAAATAAATACCGTTGTAAAGAATTATCTCCTATAGCTATCTTTTAATTTTTATAGCAAAATATCTATTTATGACCACTTCCTACCTTTAAGCCATTAAATACGCTATGTATTATTTTCTCTCTTCCCTCTCTCCTCTTTTTTCTTTCCTCTTTCTTCTCTTATAGGGACATTAAGTAATTATAGGGACATTGAGATCGATGAAGTCATGGAGGCAATGCGTAAGATGAGAAGGGGCAGAGCTACCAGGTCAGACGAAATTCCGGTAGAACTTTGGAGGTGTGTGGGTAGAGCAGGCTTGGAATGGCTTACTGAATTGTTTAGTGTTATATTCAAGACAAATAGGATGCCTGAAGAGTGTAGGTGGAGTACAATGGTTCCGTTGTATAAGAACAAAGGTGATGTCCAGAGCTGTAATAACTATAGGGGCATCAAATTACTAAGTCATACCATGAAAGTTTGGGAGAGAGTGGTAGAAATGAGAGTGCGAAGGACGGTGTCTATTTCAGACAACCAGTTCGGGTTCATGCCGGGGCGATCTACCACAGAAGCTATCCACCTTATTAGGAGGATGGTGGAACAGTACAGGGATATGAAGAAGGATCTCCACATGGTGCTTATTGATCAGGAGAAAGCGTACGATAGGGTTCCTAGGGAGGTCTTATGGAGCTGCTTAGAGGATAAAGGGG